TGAACCCAGTTTGGCTTTGCCTTGCGGTGTGGCATGGATAACTAAGAGCTGTCTGGGGAGCTACTAGCGTAGGGTCTGTCTCTCAAGCACAGGGTATTAGGAAAAATTTCTTCACTGAGGTCAAGCACTGGAACAGGCTGCTCAGGGAGGTGGTGCAGTCACCATCTCTGGAAGTGTTCAAAAACCGTGTGGATGTGGCACTTCAGGACATGGTTTAGGGGACATGGTGGCGCTGGATTAATGGTTGGTCCTTTCCAACCTTAGTGATTCTGTGATTCTGTATACCTTTGACCACCAGCGCTATTACGGCCATGTGTTCCAATACCCACAAAGTTCCATCTCCCACAACTGTCAATCTTCTCTCTTGAATTATCTAGCAGATGTATTAAGTCATCTAAACAGCTGGTAAGACAGCAAGAGTTAAAGTGCCCATAGGAATAAAACGCAGCTTTGTAATAGTCAAACAGACATACCAAACTCCAAGTTTTCTTAGGCCCTATAGAAAAAAGGCTGCAAGAAGAAATCATAGAACATAAAATAATAGCAGATAACTGATTCAGTCATTTCCCTATTGCTGAAGGTCCTTGGCTACATAAGGTCACATTTTAGACTCTTCAAATGGTATTTACTAGTTGCTTAAGATATAACAAGAGCAGAAAGTGTCCCCCTCCACCCAAAACTTGTCAGAAGAGAACCCTTTTCTACAGGGCTACAACCTAGTTTTAAGGATTCACAAAGTCATAATCCCTTGGTCCGTCTTAAGTCATAGCTAGGAAAGAAGTCACCTGCCCTGAAAAAGTGCCAGCTTGTGGAAAATACAGAGGACTATCTGCTTAGCCACACAGGGTTTCATAAACATACCATGCTCATACTCCATTCTGTATCACTGCCCCAGTAAATATAATTTCATTCAAGGTCTTCATCTATGCACTCAAACTTCTTCACAAGACTGATCCCTGTCATTTTTAAAGACTGCTTCTTCCATGGCCAAAACACAGATACATTCAGAAGAATCAGCCAATGCTCAATAAATGGTAGTATGTGGTTTACATACCTGAGTATGCACAGGTAGTGGTGGAAAGGACCTCAGCAAACTATGGAGTTTAAGTATTCTAACTGCATTAAGGGTAACAAAAATTTGTCAGAGATGTTATAACTCTCTCTGTGACTTGAAAAAAGGTATCCCCACTTCCCAAGACATGTCTAACCTAGCAATTAGCACCTAGAAAGTTTTCCTTAATATCCCAGTTAGATCATGCCTTTTCCAAACGCAGTTTTTTCCCCATGCTCTTCCTCTCCCCACAAACTTCTCACCATTCCTAGAAGAACCCACAACCCTCACTATTACAAAGAAATACACATCTCTCAACCTTCACCTGTATATCCTATTTTCTAAGTCTTTGTATTTTTGTTGCACCTAGATAAAGAGATTTTGCAGTTTCCCAGTAGAAAAGGACAAATGAGTTATATAAATTGCACATGGGGTGGTTTTCTGAAGTAAGCATGAAGTCTTTTCAAACCTAATTCTCTGTTCTTCAGTGGCAGAGAACCTTAATGCCTTCATGCAGTGAAAGCTGTTGTAATCCATTTATATTTTTATGACAAATAATGGTACCTGGAGACCACACAAGACAGAGAAAAATTATTTACTTCTTGGGAATGGAGTGCTATCCGTTAGCTTTCCACATACGGACATAATGGGATTTTCCTGCACACTAGCAACACTGAAAAGCTACAGTAGCATGGCAAGAAGTTAACAGAAAAGAGGATCTTCTGCTGTTCCTTACTACTTGCCATTCCAGCTTCATATTGTAGGAAAAGTCAACCTCTCACTACAAAACAGAATAATTACATATAGCATCATTTACAACAAGCACAATACAGAAAATTATAAACAGTGAACTTCGGACCATAACTGAAAAAAAAAAAAAAGAGCTAAAGAATAGCAATGGCTTCAACCTCTGTTTAATGTGTTTTTAGACATTGAACTCCAAATGTCTTCATTGATTCAGTGACTACTACTAACAAACCCTTTCCTACAACAGAGAGAAATTCTTCACTTCTGTTTACTTTGCCTCAAATCAGAAATCTAACATCTCATCCAAGTACTTTCTGTATACTCAAATAGCAAAACTGGGTCTGAAAAAAATCACACAGGGAATAAAATACTGTTCATAATAAGTAAAGTTATAAATTAATTTACATTTAAATTTCATCTTCACATACCTTTTCAAGCCAATAGGGAGATGTTAAAAATGTAGAGGATCCAAAATTTTCCCCTGCATAAGGGGATGGATATGGGTGTGGTAAGTTTAGTCCCAAGTAAAGAACAAATGGTTGAGTAAAGTTAATGGCTTCTTCCTTTATCCAATTTACTGCTTTATCAGTATTCCGCCAATCTGCTTCCATCACTCTCACATGTTTCCGATCACCAGTAAGATTCACCATGGGCCTCCCTTCTTGTCGGAGCAGGAAGTCAACATCCCTAGTCCAGGCTTCCACACGGTTACTGAAAATATATACACAAGATACATACTCAGTGGAAAGTGTTTTCTTTGCGTTTCCTCCAAGTAAGAAGAGTTGAGAATTCCTAAAGAACTTCCCCTATATGGGTAGCTGCGATCTATCTATAATTTCTACATAAAGAATTGTTATTCAATGGATCAATAGCTACTGTGCATCTATTTTAGACTCAAAGCTTTAGCCATTTTTTTCTGCTTCTGAATCTTCTTTATTATAACTTCATGTCAGAATGGTTCTTCTCACATCTACAAAATAACATTTAGAAATAGTATCTTCGTCTTGTTGACCATGTTCCCCATTCTGGCAAGGATGGGGATGCTCACAATGAACAGGAACCTTTGTTTTAACTCTTCTACACTATTTATAGATTACTTAATTTGCTACTTAGGGTTTTTAAATGTCTACACAGATGCCATGCTTAGGAATGAGATGGACATTTTTCTCTGACCGAGGAACTCTATTTGCAGTTTTTATTCTTTTTTTAATTAAAATCTGTGTAAACTGCCATTTTAAAATTCAGTTTGTATAAGCATAGAAAGGCTGCCTAACTGTGTGTTTATTTTCATTTATTCTCAGCCCCTACATACACTTATTCAAATAACACTAAGGGCTTGATCCTGTTAAGTACATATCTCAAACTCTCACCAAAGAGAATGTTAGAAAAAATGTATCAAAAACTTGCACCACGTGAAAATGTAGGATAAAGGCCTAGGACAAAAGGTAATTAAAAACTGCAATACCATAGACTCCATAGTATTTTTCTGTTGTCTTTGAAGTGCCTAAGAGTTCAGCCTTATGGGACCAAGAGCTAAGCAAACATGATGTGATTACATAGTTACATCGTAATTTCTGTTCGTGAGACTCAAACCTTATCAACTGAAGTACATGAATCTGTATGTGGCAGAATGAGAAAAATACTCAATTGTAACTCCACTGATAGCGGTGCTGCTACAGTTTTGCAAAAGCATGAATTACGTTCATTTATTTCTCATCTGTGGACACTTGTAACAAAAGTATTTAGAATGTTATCAATAGAACCGTTCAAACGTGAGAGTACCAGACAAAGTAAGTATGAAAGCAAGGTTAAAGCAATGGCCTTGTGGCGGGCTGACCTCGACTGGAGGCCGGTGCCCCCCGGGCCGCTCCATCCCTCCCCTCCCCA